AGGGGAGGAGAGACGTCCTGGCTGGATGGAGCCTGTCCACTGTGAGCAATTACTGGATTCCTTGTGCTATCAGCCAGCTGCCGGGGTTGGGGCTGAAGTCAGAACGGGACACGCACACACAAGACGGGCAGACACCACACATTCAGGAGTGAAGTAGAAACATAGAAGATGATGGTGAGTGCCATCAACAGGTGCTGACCATCATGAATAGGCACCGGCGGATTATGCCGGCAGAAAAATGGGCGGAATTCGGTACTTTTATGGTAAGTTTCATGCATGTTTGGTATGTGGATAAAGAAATGGAGCAGAATTCGAGGAACTGCCCGCAATAAGGTTTGTGTGGTTCTGCCCATTTCACTGCTTTTCGAGCAGAATCTGCCGGTGCCTAATCAAGAATGTAATGGTGGTTACCCACACGGTGCACTGCGTTCAGAATCGCCTAGCGCTCTAACCACAGAAGAGAATTCTAATTTTCAAAAGATTTTCCCTGGGGACACCGCCAGGCAAACATTTCAAGTTCAAAAACGGACCAGAACCATAATATCAAAACCCGGACCAAAATATGGATTTACAAACAAACCGCACATGGAATGAATCCTTTTTGGCCAGTATCCGAACGGTGGTCAAATGGACTAAGCGGGGTTTTCCATTCCACCTCTGCACCTGCTATGGTATAGTATGATAATGCAGTCGACTCCTGATACAACGAACACGATTGTGCAGGAGTACCTGCTATGGTATAGTATGATAATGCAGTCGACTCCTGATACAACGAACACTATTGTGCAGCAGCACCTGCTATGGTATAGTATGATAATGCAGTCGACTCCTGATACAACGAACACTATTATGCAGGAGTACCTGCTATGGCATAGTATGATAGTGCAGTCGACTCCTTATAAGGAACACCATTCTGCAGGAGAATGAGTTCTTTATAGTAGGGATTTCAGTCACGTGACTTTTTGGCCCGAAAGAGCCTTCATGCAGCTGCATTGATTTGGGGATCTGCGCATGGCACAATTTTTGCGGAGGCGTTCAACTGTCACTGGATGGTGCAGTGACGCTTGGAGACAAAATCGAACGGGTTTACATGAGAGTAGAGGTTTTGAGCTTTCATTTGGTACCAATCTCGGTGAAATGGCGTAAAAAAGACTGGATTCGTGCGTCTTTCAATGATTTCAAAGTCGATTTTCGATTTGATGCAAGCATTGCACACACTCGCAACATCGATAATCGGATTCTGCACCCTCGATTTAGTTTAGATCAGTTCCTTGTATCTAGCTGACGAGTCGCGGTTGTTCGCGAAATTTAGTAGAACGCCATGGCGTGCGAGAAAGACGAGTCTTGGATTGGCCCTCTGTGCAAGAAGCTGTCTCTGACGTGTAAACAGTTGCAATGCGCTCCGTCTTGACTCGCCATCAGGGCGGGTAGCAGTGGATAGTCCTGGCCAGCTGACGAACAGCCTCGTCCTTGAACTTCTGTCGTGGACTACAAACACGCAAATAAAATTTAATGCAGTCGCTGATTTTGCTGTTAAAGGGGAAGTATACCCTAAAATCAAATTTTCACCAGTTGTAGTCTTCGGGGTGCTGAGTCGAATGGTCTTGGTCCGAGGAAGCTGAGACGCTCCCTTCCTACTTGAATCCCAATCGAACTCGCGCACTTCCACCGAAACTGGGTGACTGCGCCCTACTAGATGGGGATTTGTATGCAAAATGTCACTAAAAGCGCCATTTCGTTCTTATAAAAGCACGGATGACCGCGATTGGCCCATATGTTGTAGTCTTTTGGACGCTGAGTCGACTGGTTTTGGTCCGAAAAGGCTGCGATGCAGTGTTCCTCCTTTATTCCCAATCGAACATGGTTGAACAAGCGGTCACGTGCTCCTGCGTACACCAGTCACCTGGTCACCGTGCCTGCAGGGTACAACTTACTAGCCTGTTTGACCTTTTTTGGGTGCAGTCCTGTCACTCGAGTTGAACCTTGGTGTGAAAGTTGTCGCCTGCTGACGCGGTGACCAGGTGATTTGGGCAACAAGGACCACGTGACTGCTTCTTCAACCATGTTCGATTGGGAATAAAGGAGGAACGCTGCATCGCAGCCTTTTCGGACCAAAACCAGTCGACTCAGCGTCCAAAAGACTACAACATATGGGCCAATCGCGGTCATCCGTGCTTTTATAAGAACGAAATGGCGCTTTTAGTGAAATTTTGCATACAAATCCCCATCTAGTAGGGCGCAGTCACCCAGTTTCGGTGGAAGTGCGCGAGTTCGATTGGGATTCAAGTAGGAAGGGAGCGTCGCAGCTTCCTCGGACCAAGACCATTCGACTCAGCACCCCGAAGACTACAACTGGTGAAAATTTGATTTTAGGGTATACTTCCCCTTTAACATGTTGTCAGCAGTGGATGGCAAGGAAATAGACAAAGTGAACGCGAAAGCAGTTGGGACGAAAGTCAAGCGGGTGAGATACCGACGGAAGAAGCTGCTGAAGGACAAA